GCCCTCTAGACATGAAATAACACTCTTTAGTCACCATTACACTCGTATTACCCAATATACAGGTATTTGAAAAAAACGCGATAGAGTTAAGCTGCGAAAGTCGAAGCGCGAAGTGGCGAGGGGCGACTGTACTACTATTCGTCTGTGTAAACGGTGCAGTACTTGGTCTCTTCTATCTTTAATAGCTTATGACTTATTAAACACTGCAACTTACAGGAAAATCCAGATATGTCACAAAGACTTACAATGACAAGTATAAGAAAAAAAATAGCAACAACACGTACGCCAGACCTCAACCCCCCCCAAAATGAAATCCTAGATATGGCCATGCACACATTAGCTAATCATTTTCCCCATAAGCTTCCAAATATTTAAGGTAAGGGCAACGGTTTCATACCACTGAATAAGACCTTTTGAGGTAGATATATTGAATATAAATAGGAACCAAATAGGTGGCTTTCCAACAAACGTTAATGGGTAGCTTAGCATGTTACCTGCTTCGTTGTATCTTGTGATCCATTGATAGGAAAAACCGTCAGGCATTTGGTGCTCAAGTTCAAGAAAATGTTAGTTTTATTTGCAAATCACTGTGGAGAACATACCAGTTCAACAACGTGGTCATCACAGAAGGAAAACTAGGCCTACGGAGCATACACTTATTGCGAACTTAATTGCCCAATCATAACTTACCTTGACATGAAAGAAGGAAGTTCTGGCGATGTTGGTGACGGGAGACCGAACTTGCTGTCGGGCGTGGATGACATTCACCCGAAAGGCATCCACGGAATTCCTCCCGATATCGTCCCGGTACACCCGAGATATGAGTACTTCGCCTTTATGATTGTAAATAAACACCCCTCCGATCATTGTAGCTTCCTCACTACGGGACGAGCGAAGCTCCAACAAGGGCCAATCTGAGGAGTGACGTGAGCCGGTGGGAGTTTTCTTAGTCGGTGATGATCCAGAGATAACCGACACCCACCTACTATGCAGCCATGTTGCGGGTCAATGACACACAGATGTCGGATTTCATTATTGCCACTCACACTTACAAATATTGAAAAAATCGCGAGTTCATTATTGATAGTCATTTACAAAATTAACAATTTTATAATAAAGGAATTTAATATAAAATTTAGAAAATAAACTTCAGTAATATTCAGATGAGTGCATTATAACAAAAACAGTCAGTACAAGGATTGGACAACCTGAAGAGAGATGTACATGATGCGAATCTCCGGTCCGCCCCACTCCTCCCTCAGAGACGATAACCGCAACACGAGTGTTCCCGCTCCCATCGGGGTGCCCGGGGAGGACTCGACTGCCGTTACCTAGAAACGCGGGGTCGATATCCGCACGCATTCTGCGAAGTGGTAACAGTCGCTGCGACCTAACCATGCGGTTCAAGACCTCGCTCCCCAAAGAAGCCAAGCATCGTGATTTTGTGACGTGTGTGGCATGGACGAGCATCGACGAAGTCTTCTCGAGCGGGTAATACAAATTTCCATATCCCTCCTGATATTTTCTGACTACAAGATTATCATATTGAGTGACGCCGGCTAATTTTTGGGTGGAGTTTCGCATTGAGATTCCCCTTCGTGCGATGAACCGTCCCGCATGTCGATTGCCTGTCCCACATCTTGCAAACAGAAAATGTTTCGCAAAACAAAGAAGAAATATATGGAAATAGAAAGAAAGATATATGGAAATGGAATTATTTTTGCTTTGAGCTCTGCATTCCCTCTCGTGTCAGCCTCGCTTTCTAATTCTCCCTCAATTCGCCTCAGGACTACCGCGACATCGTCGAAGTTTCCTCTTTTCATTGCCGAGTCGTGAAACGGCTGGGTCGAAGATGGCCAAAGCTTCTTCCTTCTCAGCGTTGGGTCAAATTCGACCGAGTAATTAAATTTAGGTGAAAGAACATCCTGCGACTCAAGGGTGACTTTGGCCGACATCATCCCGGATGTCTCTGGCCAACATCATCCCGGAAGTCTCTCAGAATTCCCGAGAAATTCCATTTAGGCGACGACGCCCAAATAGAAATTGCTCTCACGTTTCTTCATCTCCATCCTAAATTACGCTGAATTTTTGTTGCCAGCGACGACCACCAGATCCTGCACTGGAACTTGGTGACGAACGAGACGAAGAAGCTCGCGGACCTCCCGAATGACCTGTACCCGACGGAGCTGGACGTGCTGCCCCGCGCCGCATCCAAGAAGCAGGGGCCGGACCTCTTCCTCCTCACGAGCAGCGAGGGTGGGCTCAGCGGCTTCGCTTAAGGGCTTTCAGCGTGTGGGCTTAATGGGATGTGAGGGGCTCTCTCTGCAGAGAGTTTCGAAATCCTTCAGATGTTTAAGGCCTGGGGTGCTTCGGGAAGGAAACTGGTCTTTGCATGAATGTATTATTCTTCCTCAGCAAGCCGGAACGTTGACTTTTCCGAATTGTCCTTCATGAATAAGATCCTCTTCCCATGAGGAATAAGATTCCCCCGACTGCGTGAGTAGCCGAAAATGTTCCTCCTGGAACCTCTACGTTGTACAGTGTGACAAAAAGGCAAATTTCCTGGCCAAAATTCAAAAATGAAATTCTTTTGCATAATTCTAATACTTTACCCATTATTGACCAAACAACTGAACTTCAGAAAACTGCAATTTTTATTTTAAGAAAGCTGAAGCCTTTTTCTAGATAGAACGCTGTAAATTTGACGAAATTCTGACTATATCTCCGCGCCCTAATTTCTTCAGGTTATAAAGAAACCGACTTGTCCCAAGAAGACCGTGATCGATCTGTTCGGACTCGAGGGAGCCTTCCATGAGTAAATACTTTCATGATATGATATTCCAAGTTACGTTATTACGAGTGCGGCGCCTATTCATGTCAACTTTAATCTTCAATTACTGCTCCGCCACACTTGTTGTACGCTGCAAAAAAAAAGGACGATGGAGTGCGATGGAAATTTGGGCATTTCCGGAATCTAATGTTAGTATTTTAGCAAAGCCACATGAAAACTAGCTGCTACATTTTGATAATTCGACAATAGGAGTTATATATCATGTGGTATCTACAATTTTATCTCGCTCATTCAAGGCATCCGAAGAGCTCTTGACCCAAGTGGATAAGCAGCGTAGCATCAATTGCTGACTCATAAGCAATATGGAGCGCAAAATATTAAATCCTAGTGTTCTCTTGAGCACTTCCAGGAATCACCTGAAATATGGAATTATTCAAAGAACACCGTTCCAAATGATCTCATATCGACTTCAAATCGCATCGCCTCATCATGCCATAGGAAGTCAGCAAGACAGAAAAGTAGCGAGAGGGGTTTTGTAGGAACAGCATGAAATCTTACTGTATGAGAAGTCGGCGATATGAGATCCTTTGGAACGAAGGTCATGAATGCGTCGATATTTCGGGCTATTTCTGGAAGCACTCAAGAGAACATTAGGAGTTACTTTTTTGCTTTCCATGTTACTTAAGAGTCACTAACTGATGTTACACTGCGCATCCACTTGAGCCAAGAACTCTTCATATGCCTGGAATACACGATCAAGGAAACATTGTCGATGCTGCACGATATCTGTCTCCTATTGTCAAAGTAGAAAAAAGTAGGAGCTAGCTTTCATGTGGCTGCTAAAATACTAATGTTAGATCCTAGAAATGCCCAAATATCCATCGCACTACTTCGCCTTTTCTCGCAACAATTATGGCGGTGCAGTAATTGAAGATTAATGTTGAGATAAATAGGCACAGCGCTCGTAATAATGTAAGTTGGAATATCATATCATGAAAGTATTTGCTCATCGAAGGCTCCCTCGAGTCCGTACCGATCGATCACGGTTTTCTTCTTCGGACAAGACGGTTTCTTTCTAACCTGATGAAATGAGGGCATGGAGAGATAGTCCGATTTTCGCAAAGTTTACAGCGTTCTATCTAGAAAAAGGCTTCAGCTTTCTATAAAGGAATTGCCATTTTCTGAAGATCAGTTATTTGGTCATTAATGGCTAAAGTATCAGAATTAGGAAAAAAAATAGATTTTTTTTCATTTTGGCCAGGAAAATGCCCTTTTGTCCCACTGTGCGCTGGTAAATACTGTAACAAAGGCTCACGACGTCATCCGTTGGCTCGACGGGAAGCCATACATTATTGTCAGGAAAATGGTTTTCGCAACAGGGAAGTTCTACTTGGTGAGCTCGAACGGGAGGATCGAGAAGGGAGTGGAGGCGCACAAGGGGGCCGTGCTATCGGGGAAATGGAGCCTCGACGGAGCCGGCATCGTCACCGGTCAGTCCCTTCCATCCACCTCCATCCGAAACGATCGGGGATGTCAGTCTCGGTCGATATGACATCCTTCGGGGATGTCGGGCTCGGTCGATATGGCATCCTTCTCGGACTTTTTTTTCCGAAGGGGTCAGATAAGCATCATTACCAACTTGGCTCTGAAGGTTTTGCGGCCGTCGTGAGGGGCGTCGCCTCTACCGGCGAGGAAAAACGAAAGGGCGTTAATTTAGCGAGGAAATGTCAGTTCTTTTTTGCTCATCGGCGGATCCGAAAAACAAAAGAGAAGTTCACCTCCCAACCTTCACTCATCGTATCAAAACATGAAACAATTTTCAGAGGCAGAAACTTTTGAGAGGACGCCCGCATCTCTTTGCCACCAGCGCCATTCGTGTCAAATATTCGAGGCACTAATGCGTTAAAGACTTAGGCGCATATTCAGGTTTGCTTTAGACTTAAATTCGGAAAACGTTGAAATTTTCTTCGCACTTACGCTCCATAACAGTTCGCTTTCACTCATGGGTACGCAAAGCAATTCTTAACCCATTAAATCCCACCCCCGAGCATACCCGTGGCGCTTCGGAAACTCGGGAGTTAAAGGGTTAATAACTTGTGTAACCCCATAAGGTGAATTCCGACTCCGAGAAATGTGTCCAGATTCAGGTCAGATTACAGACATTTCTGCCTGAGAACGGAGCTCTCTAGGAGATTTTCGGCCCATCCACTCCAAATTTTTCCTAATCCGTCCACAGAGAGCGCTGATCCATGCGTGGGACGGCCTTGGTAACTCATAATACGAAGGATTTGCTTGCACTTTCCTCCGTATCAAGTTAATCCAGTTTTAATCCACGCCATTATTGGTTTTGGGATCGTTGAGGATGTTTGTGCACCTGCGATGGCCCCACGTTGCTTTCACAGCTCAAGGCCGAAAGTGCGCACAAATCCATCATCGATCGGCACGGAGGCCATGTTCCACGATCGATGTCCTATTAAACCACTATGTTATTTATTTTTGAATCCCATCTCGCTTTTCATCTATATCGTTCTCCTGTGAATTCATCTGTTTCCGCGGCTCGAGAGCCACTCCGCTCTGAAAATCGATACGGGCTATAACCGTTCATTCCGTCTCTGGTGCGTTTTTGAATCCCAGCATGCGATGCTATCGGAGAAAGCTCCACGTTTGTCCCAACGATCAATTTATCGCTGTGTTCATTTAGATTCACAGAACATTCTGTCACAGATTGAAGGAAAATCCTCAAATTCCACTTAAAAATCGGTCGTATGGTGAAATTACTGAGAAACGACTTCCCAATTTATTACATATTTTATTTCATCCGTTTGGGCAGAATTTAACGGTTGATACCAGATGATACCGCCGCGGTTTCAGCTCCGAAAGGAACGCCAATCATTCTGGCACGCCCGTACAGGGCTGGTCTTAATTCGATCATGGATCCGGGGATTGTGCATTAGTGGAATTCCATCCGGTTGGTGGGGCGAGAAAATTAGGAAATAATTCTCTCCTTCTCCTCATTCGGATGGGCGTGCTGTCTTCTCATGAAGATTTAGCGAAGAACTCTATTTTATAACTGGAGTCTCTGTTCAATAAATTTCAAGTGGAATATTTAAAAATAAAGTTTATTCTCTACTTATGCTATACAGTCACAATATGTGATAAAGACAGTAATATGCGTCTCATATCTCACACCCCGACCAGGAGGAGAAGACGGACTGGTGAAGATCTGGTCCCGATCGGGGATGCTTCGGTCGACCCTGGCCCAGAGCCCCAACCCGGTCTACTGCGTCTGCTGGAGCCCCGAGTCCGACGCGGTCCTCTACGCGAGCGGCCAGCACATCGTCCTCAAGCCACTCGCCCCCAATTCGAAGGCCATGGAGGTGAAAGTACCTCGTATATACACAGTTAATAATTTTAAAGCTGTTGAATGCAAGGAAGACCGTAGGAGAAGCATAAAAAGAAACAGAACGGATCTAAATAAAAATAATGTTTTGAGGTTTGACTGTTATCAGCTTCAGAGTCGGATTTATATTGTTTAGGATCGCCGTCGAACTTTTTTTAAACCATCATAATTTCTGTATGCGATGTGGTGTGGAGGAAATGCATTACGATAAGAATCGAAGAAATGTGCGTGTGAAGTTTGACATAAAATTGAGGAAACTAGCCACGATATGGTTTTCTCAAGTTGGGAACGACAGCAAAAAGCACAGTAAGAACTGGATGATGCGAATTAGGGCATCGGTTCTCAAACTTGGGGGGAGGGGTGGGGGGCGACAGGTCATGGTTTAATTGGTTTAATTTATTCGTTTATTTTCTAACCATTTGGAATTTGAAGTTCTGTATGGATTAGTGTTTTTTCGCTGCTGAAAAATGTTTACGCTCTTTCAAAGCCTTGTGAAGACACTCAAGGAAAACAGATTTAAGGAGGAGAATAACATGACGCAATAATGGCCGTTTCCTCCGAAATACAAGAGTGAGGTCTTCCAGGCCCTTCCTCCAGGAATGCAAGTCCAAGATGAAAACACTCCCTTAGCGTATTATTTGAAACTCGATTCCTTTTCAACGAGAGCTCATTTCGGAACTCCCACGCTCTCCATCGAACTGACAAATGCGTCCCTTTGGGCTCGAATACTCAGAGTAGTGTTGATGCACCGTTTTCTTTCCATTAAATATTTGAAAAGACTCAAAGACGCAGAAGGTTCATTGGGCTACATGCCAGAAAACTAGAAAATGTGCAGAGGATCTCGCTCTCGTCCGTCGACACCCTCAGGCAGTCCATCGAAAATCAATGCCTAACTTTTGGCTCGGCATCGAAGCGAAATTATTAGCAGGTTTCCCGTTTTTTTTAATTAATTACTCCTCATATTTGCATATTCTTCGCCCGTTTTCAGTGCAAAGATTCGGTGACGCTTGGGTGCTGAACATTTGAATATTAGCGCCGTTATTACTGCCATTCAGTCCGAACGATCACATTTGAGGACGCAGAAGCATGCGGACATCGTTCTCTCTAAATTTTATGGTTGACCCGTTCTTTGCACGATTGCAATACTTCATCTTATTTACTTTTTTCTGCCGTTGCCTGAAGAGAATATCTGGGAGGTAGACTTTATTTCCTGTTACTCAGAATGAAAGGGAGGCGCGACGCTAAGCCAAGGTCCCTAAGATGAACCAAAAGTTTGGAAACCGCTTCGTTTGGGTGGGAATAGTCTGCTGATAAGAGAACGTTCTGCTCCCTCGACCCCGGAGCCAACACGACCTATCCACATCCAAGGGTACGCATGGTACAGGGGGAAGAGTTGAACCATTTAACAGATCCTACAGAGTGGCTAGGTTCGTGAAGGCGTTTTTCAAGTCCCACGGAAATGACTGTTGTGTCCCCCATTCTCTCTTGAGCTGTAACGGAGCTTAGACGCTTCTCTCCCTTTGCCGATTGTGCCGCCGGCTCCATGGTCTTTGGGTGCACGTTTGTTTGGTCTAGATGATGACAGGACGAGATTGGACTGATTTGACACGCAGATCGCTCTAGCCTGACTTCACATTATTCTCCTTGATATTTTTCTCGACTGCTTACATTTCTTGAACTGCCGCATAAAAGCAAGCGGAAAAAAGGCGCAAAGTAGACTGTCATGCATTGTATTCCGCTGCGCAAATGCTTAGAGAAACACAAGAGAGCATGATCCTCCCAACACCTTCCACATTCCCCCCCCCCCAAAAAAAAAAAGAAGATAACTGGAAGGAAATGATTGTCAGCTCTTAAAGAGACTTGAAGTCATGCTTGCTTCAATAATTTTGTATAACTTACAATGATCACGATCAAGGACCAAAGAACACGTTTCTGAAGAAATGGACAATATCAGTTTGTCTCAGTGCACTAGTGCACCCTGAGCAACATTCAAGTGCACATTCAGATGTCTGGACTGAAATGAAAGTCGACACGTGTCAGAAGATTCTTAGCCTCAAAGGGGAATTCAAATTTCTAAAGCGAAAGCATGTTGAATTATCCAAGCCACAGATGAAAGGGGTCACTCATGCAAAATTGATTCAAGCAATTTATCTTCCGCTAAAATTGAATTATGAGGGAGCAAAGATGCTAAGGAAGTGGGAGTATTCGTGGAGACCTTATTCCTGGAATAGGCATGATTCATCGCAGCCGCTTGCTCAGTCAACCATTTTCCTTGATCTATCGTCGGCCTCTTGACAAGGAAAACAGCTCATCAGAATGATTTGCCTGATGAAGTCACACTCGTGCCGCTGCTGTCCCATCCATCGTTCCTTCACTGGGTAGCACGTGGCCGTGGCTAATGAGCGGCTGCCCTAACACGAAGCCCGCAGTTTAGCTACGCAAATGCGCTGGAGAAACTACCTCGCCGCTACTCAAAGAATTCCTCGTAGAGACTCCCAAAACTGGCATGGAATGGAGCCTAAATTGTCATAGCGAGTCACTCTCTGATTCTACTGAAATTGCGTATTTGCGTATTTGACAGTCCCAGATGATTTCCCTTCTTAGATCTCTGAGAAATACAATGGAATTCCTCAGTACATTTCTCAGAGGAGGTAATCCAGCCCTGAGATACACCAGGAAATTCCGACTTAAAGATTGGTGGAAGAATGGGGAGGATGGTTCCACAAGTCACCACTTCAACCCATGGCTTTCTAGCTTTTGTCACTTGGACTAGTTTCTTTATTGGAGAGGAATCTACGCAAGCCAAGACTTCGTTCTTGGCAGAAGGCGGACACCCTTGTATTTAGGTGATGTATCTCGCTTGGGAATCCGTCAGATGGCATTGATATGGGATTATTAACGCTATTAATGGTTACTTAAAAGGCCTTGTCCTGGCAGAGGATTAGGTCTTGATGAACGGGTCGTAGATAAGAGTCTTTACTGACACTGCACTTGTTTCCTGCCCAGATGAGGGAGAAAAGGATTAGGGGATTATTTTTAATGCCTCATAATGCTCCTTTTCTCTCCAGGAGGCGAAACTTGCAGTTTCATGGTTTTTCCTCATTATTTTTCCCACTTCGTGGACGAAGGGCACTCAGGACATGCCCGACCATAAACCAGCTTTAGTCAACTGTAAACCAAGCGTCTCCTAATGATGCCTCGCTCAGAACGTTTGAATGCTTAGAAGGCCAGAGAATTCTTGGAACTCAATCGATCTTGCCTTCCAATTGCAGCTTTCTCCTGGTACATTTATATCCAGCGTGGTGAGAATGTCAATTTTGAGAGATTATGACGCAGGGTTTGCAAGTTCTCTCGTATTTAAAGGTTGTCCCCCCCCCCCCCCCCCCTCTTCCCCCGATTGCACATACCCTCGAAGGACTGGAGAAAGTTTCTCGATCGATCAACAATATCTTTCGGTTTTATATGCTCAGATAGACCATCGATCTTCGCCACTATCGCTCAAGAGTAGAGTTAGATAAGGCGATTGGGAAAACGGAGAGATTTTTCTACAATGGTCCTTGAGGAAATGTGCCTGGGGAAAAAAAAATCAGAAGGAAAGAAAGGAGATTATTCGATCCCCATTAAAGGCGGCAAATACTGCGGATACTGCGAGAATTTAAAGGGGGTTTCTATTCCTTCTCACGAAAATGTCCACCACCCATATGGATTTGTAACAGTGGATGTCCCGTGAATCCACCCGCTGGAGAGATGTCCACATGATTCAAAATCCACCCTGGGAGGAACATCCACCTGGTTCGATTTATTCGACTTCCTCAAGGTGGCACATCTAGCTGATTCCCTATCCACCTTTCCTTTCGGCCCAGGTGGATACAGATGCACTTCTGTGAGGGCCCACGCATCCTCGCTTTGAAACTTGTTTGCACCATACTCAAGGAGAAAATCGGCTTGAGGGATATGTTTTCATCTCTATCGTCATCTCCAATCCCTTTGAATCCGGTGAAACCTCGAGAGAGGCGGAGGTGGAGATGGAAATCGATTGGATTTGATGGTGACTGCGTCAAGTCACCAGCGCATTGCCTAGATAATTCCGTTTTATTGACTGGCTGATAGAACCGCAGATTTTCCGAACTCATCAAAGGCCTCCTGGTTTTTCTTTTGCTCCGATCATTCGTAGGGGATTGGTACCTTGGGGTACATCGTAAATCCAAATTAATTTTTTTTTCTGAGAGAGGACAAGGTGTGTAAGCATTCTCACTTTTTATGTCTTGTCTGGTACTGAATAGTTCGCTCCATCTTTTCAGGGTTGGCTATACGGTAGATTTGTGAGACGTGAAAAATCAAGAGAATGCCATCAAACTTCTCCCGGACGGAATGAAGTGCGGAAAAAATCTTTAAAAGAAATCGGGAATGGAAAAGGATTAGACATGTTCTGATCCCTTCAGAGTGACATGATTTCCAAATTACCCCTGCCATTTACTTCATCCGGGATAAGTGAGGAGAAACTCTCAAAGTGATTAAAGAGAACTCTTTCTTTTGACATTTAATGTTTTCTCAGTTGCAAATTTCGGATTAAGAGTGCAAATAATATTGTGAAAAAGGCCACCCAAGGAATTGTACATAATGGTAGAGACGTCGGATGCATCCATTATGAAAATCAGTGTGGTGGTATATGATTAGCACTTCTCCAGCGAGAAGGATGATATTAAGTGTTAGAATAGTTATTTTTTGCTGAAACCGCGACATGCTTCGAAACGTTTCACGTCTCCATCGGGTCAAATTGCTGTCTTGGCGCGCATTTTCATTCTCAAAACACCAGTTCACGGTTTATGGTTGATTTAATTCCGGTTGATTTACTGCTGATTTGGAGCATTTCTTCCCTAAATCTCCGTTATTAAGCCATATTTCATAGGGTGAATAAAGTACTTTCAGATCTCCAAAGGGTCTTCTTGCAGGCGTTCGAGACTGGAACCTCTTAAATACCTTGATATAAAGGTAATCCGCGTTTAATTTAATATTATTTATACGGGGGGGTTCAAATGAAAAGGGGACTTTTAGTCCTCTACCTTATGCTACCCTTAAGCTGTGAGTGACAGCGATTGTCCCCATTTCATATGTACCGCCCCATATAATACTTCCGAGAGTAAGACTTAAAGCGCGACATCTAAGAAAGTTTGCTGACCCATTAAGCAACTTTTAAATCGAAATCGGGGGCAAAATACCCCTTTCCATATGCATTATTCAGCTTCTTATTTATTGTTGACAGTGGAAGGCACACGATGAGCTGATCCTGAAGTTGGCCTGGAGTGCCTTGAACGGCCTGATCTTGTCGGGAGCGGAGGACTGCCGATATCGACTGTGGGACGTGTACGGCCGACTTCTGTACAACAGCCCCAGTCACGATTATCCCATCACGTCCCTGGCGTGGTCGCCCGACGGTGAACTCTTTGCGGTTGGGTCCTTCAACACCCTTCGCCTTTGCGACAAATCCGGCGTACGTAGAAAAATTTCCTTTGAAGATCTGAATTCAATATTTAGGATGATATCTTAGCGCTTCCTTTCACGTTATTGAATTTCGTCCTTTTTGAATATCTTTTTACGCCAACATTTGTTTTAAAAAGTCTTGTTTACTTAAAAGGCACGTAAATGCCAAAGAGCCTTTTCAAGAGAGCTACCTGGTATAGCCGCAGTTCGCATGATGAACTGCAGGCAATTGTAACACGGCTTTCTTTTGTCTTCAGGATGTTGATTGTCTCTATCAGTCCACATTTTCCCCATCAAGTTTGATCGAAGCAGCGAGACTTATATCAAAGCAACACAAGAAAATATTTTCTTGATAAGAAACATTAACCCTTTCAAGTCCTTTTGAGATGCATAATTGCTTTCATTTGCCACTCTCATCCCTCATGATATACGAGGCTATATATATTTTAAATGTTTTATCCTCTCATGAAGTGGTCATATTCATTGGAGAAACCACCGACAGGGAGTATATTTTCCCTGGCCTGGTCGAGCGACGGGACTCAAGTGGCTGGGGCCTGCGGGCATGGTAATGTCATCTTCGCTCACATCATAGAAAGGTCAGAACTTCATTCCCTGAATAAGAATGTGACAATTAATGGCACATATGCTCCTGCTATTGATTAAACTTATTACATGTAGAAATCAACACCTTAATCGTGATTTCACTCACTGGCATGTTACATGGTATCAAAGGGAAGACCGGTGTTTTGCCCTTCGGCAGTTTACAAGTTACATATAAAGCGTAATTGTATGCATTTCCGCGCTTGTATCCATTAAAACGAGAAATCCTCTTTTTTGAAAATAAAAGTAAATTGCCTCAAATCATCGCAGGACAATTTCAAGATGGAAGGCGCCTTCGATTGGACTCCAAGGGTAACTTAAAAAATGGTTGAAAATTACTGAATTCAGTGCACGAGTTTTAATTCTATTAATTTTTCCACATTTTTTGGGACGACTAAACGACAATTGCCAATTTTTTGAAAATGTGGGTCTGAATTAGTTTCGTGGAGTTTGGAAATACCTTTTTTTTAACATTCAGATGATATTAGAGGTTGCATAGGAGAATTAGACCAAGAGAATTTTTTGGTCCCATTTGAATCTAACGGGCGAAGTCCATGCGGTCCAGTATTGGACCTTCTTCCTAAGGATGGACTTAATTTTTACCGCCTCTTTTTTTGGTCTAAATGATGTTACACCTTGAATACCTCGTATAGGCCTTCACGATCCGCTCTTGGATCAGGACTTGGATTAACATGAATCCAAAGAAGAACTCCCGATCCATCTTCTCTCCTCGATTGCGCAATGCCGTCACATTTTATTTAAAAATCTGAAACTGCGATTAAATGTCTCCATGGTTTGGAAACTTACTACCCCTCACACTGTCCTTCGCATTCCAATAAAGAGTGATCACGGTCATATTTTTTTACGGGCATCGTCGAGTAACGAATAACTTTAATGGAGGTGTGAGCAACTATAGTCTTCACCAATTTAGTTGAGTTGACACGGGGAAAGCTTACCCAGGAAGTGCTACATATGCAGTGCTGAAACCATCGTTTTCACAATGATCATGAAAACTAAGATTTTACATGCCCTTATTTTAGGGCGTTAGCCTCTCAACAGTATTCAGTTTACTTGATCCAATGATTCAAATCTCTAACAGTTCCTTGGTGCACCGAACCGATGAAAGCTACGGGAAAATATTGATATTAATGCATTTCGACGATGGTGTTCCCTTTACTGCGTTGCTGTCGCTATTAAAAATGCTGTGAAAATCTCTTTAAAAAAGGATGCTACCTCTAACAGGCGTAGGAAAATAAGAAAATTAGTAAGGACAGTTGAAGAAATCGCTGCGAAGCATCAATAAAGACAGGGAAAATTATTGAAAAATCCTATAAAAATTTAATGCAAATATTTTTCCTGATAGGCGGCTAGAATGGAAGAACTACGAGGCGTCGGTGACGAGCCGTAAGAGCATCGCCCTCCGCAACGTCACGAACGAAGCTTGGGAGAAGTTGGATCTCCCCGACCGGATCGTGAAGCTTGGCCTGAGCTACGGGCACTTGGTGGTCGTCTCCACGAGTCACGTCTACGTCTACTCCACTCGGAACTGGAACACGCCGATCATTTTCGACCTGAAGGAGGGCAGCGTCAGGCTCATCCAACAAGCCTCGAAGTCAGTTTCCAAATTTTGCTATTTTGTTATATGCTCAAAGCTTTTATTTTTTGTAGTGGACCTTTTTTCTCATGCAAGGAAACTGGTTTCTGAACTTAAAGCTAATGCGTGATGGAGAGAAGCAATGAGAGAACTCAATTAGTTGAAGTAATGAAATTTTCTGATAGCCTCATTCGGTAACCTTAACCTGATATCCTTCAAGATATTTAGCAGCTTATTATGCGCAAAGCGTGCCTGGCCTTCTGTGGGAGGACAAATACCTTTGCATTCCCATGCGATTCCGGTCCTGTATGATATAGGATCTGGAAAATAAGTTGCTTGGAGTATTCTTAGCTCTTGGCGATAGGAGTATACCTGTGTAAGGTATGGCTCTTCTCTCTCAGATGAAAGAGCAGTAGGGGGCCAAGTGATGCATAATGCTGTAGATACATCGTGTGTGTTTTTTTTCCCCTATATCGTTTCATTTTTGAGAAAAGTCGGCTTATGGGTGGAGCATGTGCGGTTTCCCAACAATGAGCCAAAAGTCGGCCTGATGAAGGGACAACAGGACATGCCCGAACATAAGCCGGCTTAAACCAACCATTTACCAGTGATGATCCAACTAAGGCTTTTATACGCGTCGGCAAAAAGCTATCGATGACCGGATGGAAAATTTTACCTGGGAGTTAACGATTTTTTATTTATTTAAAGACAATTCCTCTTGGTCGAGGGGAGCGGGATTTACATCTACGGCTACGATGGAAAACTCGTTTCGTCGCCAAAGTGGCCTTCCATGAAGGTGGATCTCCTCAACTCTCAAATAATCTCTCTCTCCAACGACACCGTCGCTGTGCGGGACCGTACCGATCAACGAGGTGAGTCTTATTGGATACATACTGACAATTTAAATTGTTCGCACGTTTTTTTCAGTATAAAAAGACATGACTTTGGGACTCTCAACGACAGATGTTAACTGCATTGAGGGGTGAACGAGTAGAAAAATAAACATACTGAAGTAATTGAGAAACTTCGTTTTCCTTGGTTGAAAAGAAAGTCTGTACATATGCATAATTGCATAGCTCAAGAAAGGGATGAAAAGCTTCAGAGGGCTATTCAAGTATCTGAAAACGTTTGCAGCTTCAGAGTTACGTCACGTCGTATTTCATTATGATAGTTTGAAATTAATGAATCTTGAGTACAGAGCGTAATGTTGTATTGCAATTAAAAACAATGAACACCTTCAGTAAATACGAGCGATGGGAGACAAATATCCGTTCATTGGATTAGGTCGTGGGGGAGGATATGTTGAAGCTTTTGAACAGAAAAAGGGTATACGTGTATTTTAAAAAGTATAAAATAATCTGCAGTTAGAATTCAATGCCTTTATTTTACGTATTAGCTGTGCTTGTCTTCGACACGGCGTCGGGAAAATCTGTGACGGACACTGGAAAGGCCGGGGGTCCTGCCTACGTCCACACGTCCGAGGTCTACGAAATGTCTCTGGACCAGACCGGGCCAGCCACGGAAAGAAAACTTGCCCTCATCGACCGGAACCGAGAGCTGTATCTGGTCGCCATCCGCCGGCACGGAGGATCATCTGTGGCCATGAAGCTTGGTAAGCATCTCTGATTGACCTTGCCAGAATCATTGCAAATGCCTATTTTTTCTAATAGTTTTGAGGCAAGTACATTACATTGATGCTCATTTTTATAATTTCAAAGCAAATTCATTTATATCTCAGGGTTTTTCTTGTCATCCAGAACGAGTGATTCGATAGTTCAAAAATATTTAGTACATGTTCCTTTGCACAAGTCATTCAGTCCGGATGCGATAGGACATTTCAAGTCATACAAAACGATCCTGGTTGGGGTCTGATAAATTTAATCACCGCCGCGGATGTCTCTTGACGATAATTGGATAATTGGGAGAGTAGTAAAAAAAAACAGAAAAATTATAATTTTATATCATGTTAGAGCAATACCTCCTCTCGAAAACAAAGAACTCTTACTTGCGTTACTCATATATTGCTTGGCACATGCATACCTTCATACACGTGATATAGAGTGATTTAAAAGTGACTTTGGCACTTTAGACGTCCATAGCAACTAGTACAGGGTGTTTCATTCAACTACTACCCATTTTAAAATGATATGAGTTATAATGTATGCAAGCTATAGCGGTGATTCACATGTCACTAAATAGAGCAGACTTCAAAGTTTTCAAACTTTCAAAGTTCATGTGCAGTTCAGCACAGAGTATACTCAATGTGGCAAACACGGGCATTGTTGACAGCACGGAGATGTACAAACATGTCATTCACCAAGCTATTCAGCATCTCACTGTCAATTTAACAGACAGTCCATTATTACTTGTTTCAGTTCAGGGACGGACCAAGAAACTCTTAAACACTTTTTCATTTAGGTATTCCCAACGGAAAAAGTCATTTGGGTTGATGTTGGGGGTAGTTGGAGGCCACAACAAACCACTGATGAATGTGTGTCAATAGCGGTTTGAGATGACACGCTCACAATATTTAAAAAGTTGTTCACCTGTTCATACGGAATGACATCAAGTTAGGATTGCCAACTGCACAGAAAAAACTTTGAAGTCTGCTTTATTTAATGGTAGGTGAGTCATCAGAGTAACTTCACTGCTTCATGTCTTATATTATTTTAAAATGGTGACTAATTGACTGAAACACCCTGTAATGTGGATGCACAGTAAATAAATTTACTGGATGGCAAGAAAAGGCCTTGGAAAATTTGTGACTATTTGTGCTCACATGGTTGTAGAGGACGTCATCTGTCGAAGCATGAAACCTGAATGACTGACGATAAGCCTGTAGGTTTTCAGTCTTTTTGTCGCTTAGCGAGTGGCAATAGCGGAACTTCGATACAAAACGGATCAAGTGCAGTAGTAAAAGCGCTTAAGTATCGAACTAATCGTAACTTGACTTCCTAAGGCCCGAGGAAAGTAAAATCCATAGGCTTTCGCAAGCGTATATGCTTCTCGAGTCTGAAGAAGCTCATTAAAAGGCTACCTCGGAGCCTGGGGAAAAATTCCAAGAGAAGGCACTACCAATGCTTTGAAGCCAGGATAGAAACATGATGACTTATCCGGTAATTCCTGACCCATCGGATGAAGGTCTGCTTCTGACCCATGTCTTCTAAGGCGTTGAGGGACTTTACCGTGTATCACACTGTGAATATATTTTAGAATTTTTTTTTCCATACAATGATCTCATGATGATTCTTTATAACACATATTACATTGTTTATGACATCACCTCAACTTCACTCGTGTTGTTAAAAGGTCGTCGTTGGTTGTTCATACAGGCGTGATGGTGGGGAGTTTGTACTGGAACGACGGGGCATCTATGCTCGCCGCCCTGCAGAACAGCCGCTTGGTCGTTTGGTTCTACCCGAATGTCATCTTCGTGGACAAAGAACTCCTCACGCTTGCTACTCAGGAACGCGAAGGAGGGTGAGATCCTGCACTGGCCCCGTGATGATAATTAAAATTACATGGATGTAAATAATATTTGTCATTTGAGTGCATTAATTTTGTCTGTCAAGGATACACGGTGGAAGAGGTTTCGACTTATGATTTTAAGTGCCGCACTGTTACTTATTCATGAATAGGCACCAGCTGGAAATTGTAGGCCTCTATTCAAAATTATAATACATGGGTTCATGAAAACGAAAACTGATCTCACTACGAGGTAATTAAGCGGTGACTAAAAAAGACTTACACAGAACGAAAACGAGGCAATTAAAAATTCACCGTGCGGTAGAGAATAAACCTCAAAATTCATGAACAGGCGAGAGATCATGTTACTATATCTAGCCTAATAACTGTCGACAGAGAATTTGGGAAGAGTCCCATTGTGGTGAACTACCTCGGGGACCAGGTGACTGTTCGTCGGTCGGACGGATCTCTGGTCAGCGTCCCCACCTCCCCCTATCCCGCAGTTCTGCACGATTACACCATGCAACACAAATGGGGCGATGCCGTTCGCCTTTGTCGATTCATCAAAGTGAGTACAACACTTTCTGCCAATTTTTAATGACCTTCGCCTTGTGACAGAAACGATGGTAGTATTTGTTTTTGCATGTTTTTGCTCCGTTATTTGTTTCCTGTTGCTAGATTATCATTATGCCTTAAATGCTGGAAATTCCCTTGCTTCGAATTAAATGTAGTGTTTGTTGAAGAATTCCTGCTTAGCTGCTGATAACAAATTTTGTAGGAGCCCCTGCTGTGGGCGTGCTTAGCAGGAATGGCTACCTATGCCAAGGAGTTGAACACTGCTGAGATCGCATACGCCGCCATCGACAGGGCTGACAAGGTCCTATATGTGCAGTATATCAAGGTGAGAACTTTATGAATGACTTTCTAGTTACTGAATATAAAACATAAATTTCATGGAAGACGACAGGAAGAAAAACAAGACTAACATTTGAAACGATCCGGAGTCACGCTGTCACTGAATAGCAGAAGCCAGTGATTAGCGAACTCCAAGTAGTGCTGAATTAAAGGCGAAGGCGACCTGCTTGAAATGGTGGATGGTCTGTAATATGTCATAACTTGACAATAATAATTCCTTAAAACATAGGAATAATTCCTTAAAACATGGCCAGCTTGCAATTGAGTTAGCCTGGACTTTACTTTTTCATACGAGTCCGAAGTTCTTCAAAAGTACAATAAGTTATTCACAAATTGGATGTATCCACCATTTTAAATATCGACAAAACGGAAATTGATATCTTAAGTTATCGCTTAGGGTAAGTCCACTTGCTACACAGGATAAGTTACAATGTTTTTTTTTCGCCCTGAAAATCCGCGCGATATCAATTTGGTTCATCTGAGTCTTTTAACGGACACCACTTTATTCCAAACCAACATTTTATATTATTCATCGCAGTGGCTTGATAGACAGTATATTATGAAACCATTTTCCACTCAAGGTTTACCCAACAGAATTTCAAATCTTGAAGTATTTTATGTTGCAATGGATGAATTTGGGTTTGTAATGTGATCACAATTGAGGCTAATATACCTCGGAAATTACAAGCTATCAATCGAAGAAGTCTGACTGTTCTGTTGCCAAGAGAAATTAATGACAATTTATATTGATATTTATATTTTTTAAAGCAATTGGAAACTAGACTGATAAAGCATAATTGTGATTATGCATGTTTTCTGGAAATTCCTTTCAGACACATGTGGCTAATGTGCCCTACTTCAATGTGCAACTGCATCTAAAGTAAATTTATCTTGCAGAATATCCCTGTGAAGGAGGTGCGGTCTGCAGAAATGGCTCTACTGGCTGGAAAAACCCAGGAAGCAGAAAACGTCCTCTTGCAGAACGGTCTTCTCTTCCGAGCCATTATGATGCACATCCAGCTCTACAATTGGGACCGGTATGATGTCATATCAATGGACAAGTACTATCTCATATTATAATACACATATATGGTGTTTGTGCTATATTTTCATTCATAGCTACTTTCTCCATGATTGAAGCTTGCTCTTTTGTAGAACGCATTAAATTTATTTTTTAAATAAGAAAACAATATCTTTATCGGTCTCATGCATTATAATGTCCTTTACACATGATGTATGTCAATATCCATACCAGAAATGTCCAAGACCTCGATGTTAAGACATTACCTCGTGACATTACACTCGAGTAAGTTTAGGCTCACTACTTTCCTTTAATTAAATATGCATTTCAATATTTTCCCTTTCATTGATCCATGTCAATGGATGTTTGAAAGATACAAGATGGCATGAGAAACAGTAGAACAAGTTGAAGTCATTAGTAAAAGAGAATGAATGGAAGTAATCAGCTATTAACATTGATCCTTTCATTTTGCGGTGATGTCTGCAGCTGAAAGAGGATCGGTGCATCACTGGAATTTAAGAATTAAAAAGAAAAAAATTAATACAATTAGCTGTACCCAGTTAATTTCAAGTTCTCTGAGGTCATTCAGGATCAGTTTTGTAATTTAAAATTTTAAAGGAAGGAGAATAGGTAAGGCTGATATTTTTCTTGAACTGATGCGTTTTCTAGGGCCCTGGAGTTGGCTGTGAAGCACAAGACTCACTTGGACACAGTGCTGGCATTTCGCAAGCGTTACTTGATGCGATTCGACCGAGAGGAAACCAACAAACGATTCATCCAGTTCGGCCAAGGCGTAAGTTTCATTTAGCCTAATATGAATCGTGTATTCCATTATGCCAACCTTCAAGTTTTATAATTTCATGCATAGTTATCAATAATTATAATATTCAACAATTACCACCAAGTATATAGCTATTACATTCCCACATCAAATCGTAAGCAGGGTTTTCAGTTATTTTCATGCGATGACGCGATGGCTGGACAATATACAAATTAATCCGTGACTCCCACACCCCCTCAAAAGGATGTGAGGCCAGAGGCGATTTCGAATGGATCCTTTTTAAAATGAGGGAATGATGGAATGAGACTTCTACGGATTGCTATAGGTTTGGGGAAGAAGTAGTGCAGATTTTTATCGATTAAATTCGAATAGTTTTGAAAGTATTTTAAGGAGAATGCTGTGACATCCGCGAATATGTATGACATTACAAAACTTGCTAAACCTAGGACACTCGATGCGAAAAATCCACGGTCATGTTTCACATTCCAGGTTCAGCTGGATTGGCAGAAAATTTTGCAGCGGGTCGAGACTGAATACCAAAGGGAGTCCGGTCGAATTGGTGCTGCTTTGCCCCCCAAAACAAGTTCGAGGAATACTTCTAAGAAAGCAGTGAATCCCCCGAGGAAAGAAGTGAGACCTCCTCCAAATGATGAGGAGCTCGGTGATGATGAAGAAGATGGAGAGGTGGATTAGTGTCATTATCGTGATGTGAAAGTCGTTCTGTGATGTCTCAAGCCATTCGGTCTCTTGCTTGACAGACCATTTGAACCTCATCCCCAATTTCTTTTTCAATGTCTAATCACTTCCATGCCAATTGAGATTCCACATAAAGGGAGAGTCTTTTGGATATTAAAGAAACTGAAGCCATAAGTAGTTGATGTTCAAAATCTAGTCTCAATAGAACTGCACCAGAACAACTTGACTTACCCGGAAACCCCGAATATAGCCGGACTAAAATGAAGTATCCTCTGGTGGGAACGACACTCATGTATCTGATCAATATGTATTTAGGATTATTATATAAAATAGTCTAATAACGTGTTCTAAAATCGCGCTTGTCAATGGACTCCGTCTCTTATCGGCGAGAACAGTTCCTTGGGTAAATGGATAGGCATCAATGAAAAATAATTAGACAAAGAAGTGACATTTGAAGAAAACGGTGTCCTTTTCTCTACGACTCCTCCATCTGTTTCCAATATAGCATAGCAAACCAGCTTGATTCTAACTCCATTTGTCAAAAAGGGAAAGCCTCCCTCACAGAGCAGATGGTCCGCATTTCTCCCGTAGGAATTCATTCAGACCGGAGAGGAAAGGAGAAACGGAAAGAAACCAGATAGTGCAGAAGTCTATTTTCCTTCCTCGGCACGGAAAAGACTTCACTTAGAATTACCTCTATTTAATTGTTCAGAGCAAAAAGGTAAGCTAAAGTTCGTCGTTTTACTTTTCGCATTTCTTGTACTCTTGTCCTGTTTGGGGCAGAGCACAATGGGTGACATGCACAAGTGGTCACGAGTAGGGCCATTCTTTTTCCGTTTTCGCGGAAAGGCAAATAGCAATCAAGCAAAAAAAGTCCGTAGGCCTTTTTCCTGGAGGAAACTTGACATCGACATATTGCTAATAAATAAAACGAAAAATTTTAAATGAGTCAATAAATGTCATCCATATTGAATTTCTCTTTTTGTCGAGAAACCGGGAAGGAATAAATCATTCAAACCGGGGGAGCGGAAGTTAAACATAGTCTGCGCGATCCTGACAGCCAGCTAGGCCGAGCGACAAATGTGTGTTTGTGCGTGCGTGTGTGACAGCTCTGCAGGCCAAACGCTTAAAGATATTAACTTGGGAATTTTTTTTTTAGGACAGAACTCTTTCTTTTCATTTGAGGATGTGCCTTTTCGAAATGAAATTTGCAAATCGGCCTCGCGAAAGGGAGGGAAGACAACTTTCACGAAAAATCTGAGATTCGTTCTCGTCTCTTGTATGAACGAGGAGACGAAAGTTGCCGTGGTATTTCCAAGGGAACGATGGAATCGCTCGCTGCAGTGCATCCCGCTGCTGTCGGGAATCTAGGGATTGTAAGCATCCATGAATGGAATATGGGGCGATTCGTCAGCTCGTCGCCACTTGCGTTCGCACAGGCACCCCAAAGGATTACATCACAGCAGTTTCTTCGTTGTGGCTCTCTTAAATTGGATAATTTCATAATTGCAGAATGAAGTGCTCTTTTGCCACAGCTTACATCATCTACAGTCCTTTGAAAGCACAAATGAACGGTGCAAAGAAGCCGACGAGCAAGAGAGTTATCCAAAGATTGTGTTGTTTTCCCGTATCACAGTCGCATAGGTAGAAGGCAAACAATTAAAAGTATAATCAATGGGAGACGAGAGCTTGCAATACAAAAAGGTGATTTGGGAATCGGGACGATGCTGTTTGCTGCGTGTTCCCTGTCTTCCTCCGATCCTATGAGCTGATGTACTCGGCTAGTCGTTGACGTTTTCGAGACTGGGGGCCGTATTCTATTAATTTCTTATCTGAAGATAAGGAATCTTTCCAAAACCTGAAGAGTTTGTTTTAGTAAAGTATTCAGCTCAGGTTGGAATTCTATCTCCATCTTAGCAATCTGCTGAGTTGAGCGATTTCCTCAAAAAAAACAAGATACTTAAGTTGATTACCTGACCAATACGTCACGTGACCAATACGTCATGCCTGACGTCATAATTTCCATAGTGGAGAAACCGCCTTAGCGACGAGTCTCATCCTCTTCCAAGGCGGTGCTCTAAATCCAGCAGAGCGACTCCATGTTAAAGATGGATCGAAAACGGCAACAAAATTTCACAGCAGAAGAACTCACAATTCTTATGGAAGAATATATTCAGCATAAAGTTATTCTCAGAACGGCTCTTAGTGCAAAGATTACAGAGAAGGACAATCATAATTCGTGGCTGCAAATTCACTGAGTGCTCATGTAAATCAATGATAACATGAGGTTAATTAATTTGAAATTATTGGTATTTAATGAATAGGATATTGCACAAGCCTGCGCCAGCC